TTTATTGTTCTGGCCCCTAATAAAGGTGTATTTGTTGTGATTAAACTGATAGTCCCCTGCTGTTTGTCTTTTGCACTTTGGGATCGGCTAACGAACCATCACGACACCCCGCTACAAGCGGATCATGACAGCATGTCATGCACAAGAAGCCACCCAGATGAGAGAAAGCCTTACACGTACCTATTCACCACCTTCTGCAATGGATCATTAGAGATGGACTCAAACTCCTCCAAGAGGTTTTCACTGGTAGAACACAAAGCAGTGGTCACAAGTGGCAAGAGAAGAAACTCCAAGTGGGTAAAGGAAAATATTCTTCACAGTGAGAGTAGTTTAAGCCTTGGAACAGGTTCCCAGATGGATTGTGGGATTCCCATCTTTGGACACTTTTGAATCTCTATTGGATGAGGGCCTGAGAAACATGACCCAGAGGCCAGACTTGCTTTCCTCAGAAGATTGGTTCACATGACCTATAGAGATCCCTTCTTACATAATTATTCTAATAGTCTGAAAAAGTTCAAAGTGAAAGTTTTGCACAAAGTTTATAATATGAATAAATAAAACAAGGGAAACCCCTTATTAAGTAAGACTAAATTCTGTAAGTGTTTTTAGGTAGGTGAGAGAAAATCCTCAGAACAACAACTTTGATCTTAAAAAATTATTTAATTCTCTTAGCTTATTTTGGCTTCATATTATCATTTTTACCTGAGTTCTGCCATCTTCATTTTAAATGAGTAGTAACATAAAAGGCATGTGGTCAAATAAATATTCAATACTATAAAAAACTAGACTAATGAAAAAAGCAGAAGAAACCAGTATCTGATATTTGGATACTGTTGGCCCTCTTTTCATCTCAGTTCTTGCAGACCTGAAATTGTTTCTTTTTTTAATCAGTGTCCCTCATTTTCCTTCATTCTATCTCATGAAGCCTCAATCTATTGATACTAAAAAAATAAATTAACCAAGTCCTGCCAAAACCAGCCCGCTCCCACCCCTTCTCCCCTCACTCTTCCTTCTAAATTATGTTGAAGATAAAAAGAAGTAAGAGCTTAATTTCAAGGGTCTGGAAAATAAGTTTTCAGGAGAATTTGTCTTCACAGACACTCAGCTTTCAGATATCTTCTAACACTTAGAGGTTAGACTAAAGTTTCTTTAATTACAATAAACAAAGTATCTCAGTATGACTCTTTTTCCTTTATGTCTTTGCCAGATTTGTGGAACAAATCCAAATTGGTAATGCCTCATCTTTAAAAAACAAGACTGATTTCCAAATGTGCATGTAGCTGTTTTGGACAGATTAGTACAGGCAGGTTTCCTTAGAAATTTCAGAAGTTTTCCTACAGAAAAAAGAAATAGATTTTCTTGTTTTAACCAAGATCTCTAAATATATTTCAAATTATAAACACTGTAACAGATAAGTGACACAAAAATATTCTGAATCAATGCTGTCAAACTGTAACTTAAATTAAGCAACCTTCTTGAACAATTCTAAATTGCACAATTTACGTCAAAACAATCAACTAATAATCATTTGAGAAGAAACATCAATGACACTTCTCACTTTTTATTGCCTCATAATTGTACTCACTTTAAGAAAGAACAGCTAGCATTGCTAATTTCTCAATTAGAGGAAAGTTTAGGCTATATTTCTTTCAAGCTGACACCTGAAATAATTTGTCCTTTTGCTCTATATAGATTCTACAGGTCTTGGTGAGGCAGGTGAGGCAGATCACTACTTTCAACATTGCGTGACAAATATATCCAGGTGCAAAATGAATAATTGTTAATAAAAATATTTTTTACTACATTTTTTCTAAGAATACAGAGCTGAAGAAAACCCCCACAAAACCAGTTGAGAGTAAGCTGAAGTAGCTTATATATTATAAATGCTAATTCTTAGGATAAATACAGCACATGAGAAGAAACCAGAACCTGCAGAAATGGAAGCATTATGCCCAAGGGATCAGATTTTTCAAAAGACCACAGGTGATTTACATTAGGTTTATAAATAGCTGAGCTATTTCTTATTTGCATGAGACAACTGAGGAGAAAATATTTTCAAATGTTATTCTTTAAAAAACCCTTATTATTTAAGAAATCTAATACCAAAACATTGAGTTTTCAGTTCATATTAGAACTGAAAACTCAGCTAATTCAAAATAGTTAACATTTTATATTTAATTTCTGATTGCATACATAATCATACACTAATATTTGAAATATTTTGAGAGCAGAATTGTTTAGTTGTAAGGCTACAGCAATGCTTAATCATTAGCAAACTTTTAAAGCAGGGCGTTATTTATTTTCTCTGGTTTTGATACAGTAACAGCTTTAGTGCTACTTCTTAAACTTTGCACAAAAACATTATCAAGAATATATATTTAAAATTAGAAGGAAAAGAAACAATGTAAGAGATTACTCAAGGATAGAAAAAAACTAAAGTTCAAGCAAGTCCTATGCTTGTAATGGTTTGCAGAGGCTGGCATTTTTGATTGAAGAAGAAAATTAAATAAACTAATGTCTGGTGCCTCTGAAACCACAGGCAAGATGACAATGTAACTGGACTTACAGAAAGAGAAGTAGTGGCCCAACATCAAAGAAAACATAGTTAAAAAGAAAAAAATATAGAAAAAGAGTAAAGAAAGTTGCATCTAGTTTCCATCCAAGAACAAAATTGAAAGATTTTAGAATCCTCAGCATTGCCTTTCTGGTTTTAATTTAAACAATGCCCAAGATTTTTTTTTTTTTTCCTAAGCATTCAAGTCTCTAACTAAATTTTCTCAGGACTGTAAGAATGCATGACAAAGAACCTCAAAATGTTACTGAACTATTTCATTGATATTTTCCTGCTACTTTCTCAGTGGCAATACACAGACAAAAACTGTTCCCTTAGCAAAGTGATTCCAACAACAGAAATGTGTGTACTTGCAACAACTTTTTCATGCAATAGAATATTGACTGTGAAAGAAATAAATAATGAAGGACATTTTACTATTAAAAACTGTGGTCTAAGAGAAACAGGGCAATTCTTATTTTTTCCATGGAAAGAATGGAAAAGAGAATGGTATCATTAACCACAGAGAGAAACCATTTCAGGCCCAGTTCATGACTCCATTAGCCAAGGAACTTCATTACTCTGAATATATTTTGAAATCTATATTTTTGCCTATAAAGAGGTAAAAAATTAATGAAGTGGATAAAAAATAAACATACTTCAGTTATTGTCTACTCGATTATAAAAACACAAGTAAAATTACCAGTAACAACACAAGCATAATTTAGAGTACAAGCTTTGCCTCATTATAACACTCAGAGATAATCTTGATTTCATTAAGAATGATGTTATAAGTCAATTTTAGCATTACGGAAAAAGACTTGGCTATTTAGAGACAGTTGTCTGCCTAAACACCATTGGTTTTAATAGCATTAAAGTAATTTCAAGTACTTAAAGAATCTAAATCCTGAAACTAAAGCCTACATAATGGAGAAAATTAATATATAAAACAAGTCTTTTATCAGCTAACACTGAAATAAAGGAGAAGAATACCCCTTCCTGTTTATTAGAGCACTGTATAGGTGATCTGTTCAACTGAAAAACACTTCCATATTCTAGCAAAACTCTCCAAAGGGGAAAAAAGTAGCCAGTTTCTTACTAGTTAATTTTGATATGCTGACCTTTTGTTGAGGATAACCCCATAGAACATGATGAGACTTTTAACGCTTCTCTTTCCAAACACACTCAAATTTGATAATGATTTTTTCAGAAATACTTAAAATTAAGTGCATGAGAAGCTATGTGATAATGTCAGATAAGCAAAGAAATATCTTTTCAATGAGAAAATAACATTAGCATTACTTTTATAACAATAGCATTATTTAAAACAATAGCATTATTTTTAACCCTATTTAGCTTATTCTGATGAAATTTCAAATGCACTGGCTTTTCATTTTCACTGTCAATTACATTTCTGCTTTATGCGGGACTTTAGAGAAAAAAACAGGAGAGGTGGGGAGAAAGAAAATAAAAATATAGAGATGTCTTTTTCTTCCTTGTAACAACATGAGAAAGGTTTAGTGTCCAGCTGAAGTTGTTTTTCTATAGTCCTAAACAGGAGACTGTGCAATAGATTGGGAAATAACTTGCATAATCATTACTTAAACCAACAGATGGGTCAGACAATGAATGAGAAAGAAGTTGGCACTTGAAGAAATAACTTCCCAACTCACTACTAGTGAATTGGGAATCTGGATTTTGAGCAGTAAATTTGATAAACAAGCAAACCCTATGCAGAAATTCTGCTTCCTCCTGCATGGTATTTTCTCCCCCACTAAAACCAGTACAAACTTCAGCAACACAGACAGTAAACTGAGCAAAGAGAATGGCATAAAATCCATTTTCCATTGAAAAATCCACCTGTTTTACAGTGGCATTCAGTCCACAGAATGAATGCAGAAGTCTTCATCAGTCTTAAATATCTGCCTCTGCAAACTGTCAGATATGAGCATTGTTTGATTATGAAAATGGAGGAGGAAAAAAAAAGTGCCAAAAGCATTGCCTTACATGTCAAAACACAAGTAATGACAAGACTTAGGAATATCTCCACAAACATTTATGAGAGTCCCTAGCTTAATGAAAACTATATGAAGGGAATAAAATTTTCATTGTTATTTCTACATTAGACTATATAAAAATACTATTCTAAGGCCATGAAGTCAGCTTATATTACAGACAGAAAAAAAAAAAAGAATTGGGCATGGATTTCTATTGCTATACAACAAAAGAGACTAGCATTGCTACTTGAAAAGTCAAAAAAGAAACCTTAGTATGCATAACATTCTTAGGGGTTGAGTATCTCCTGGATTCAGCCATGTCAGTATTTAGTAAATGAGAACATCAATCCACTTTTACAACAAGAAGACAAAGACTTGACATCTCTCCTTCAAGTAATACAACAAAAGCAGAAATAGCTTTTCCCTGGTTACTTGCAGGATCAACAACATACCATTCTGCTACTGGTTTGGCAATGCTGTCAAAAATCACATCTTGTTTTGCCTCTTGATCAAAAATTTTCTGAAATCTGAAAATATTAAGCAAATAATAATTGCTTAGAATGTTAAAACAGTACTCGATTCATACATTTTTTGTTTGTGTTCGTAATAGTCAATGTTTACATCATTAGGCTTACATAACTTAGTACAATGTTTTCCCTGTAGTCTTAACCACAGCTTGCTCTTGTGCTATTGTACATAAATAGGCTGTACACAGAGCTGCTTTGACACGATTTGCACAATAAAATCCTCTGATAAAATGATGTGGCTTAGAAAGAAGTAAACCCTCGTTTAAATCTATCAAGAGAATTAGTGTTTGTAACTGGCACCACACTGAATCCTGGATAAATAGATTACACTATAACCAAATACAGCATCCCACTATTATAGCCAGGCTCACATTTTTTCAAGCCATTTCCTTCATTCTGCTGCACAATTACTATAGGTCACTATGAGATATTTCATTAAATATTAATTAAAATCTACCTCCAGGCTTAATATCTCTCAGCAGTTTGCCCATGTTTGCAAATATCCAGATTGGCTTAACTGTATGTTAGAAAGGTGTCATCCACATGTTCCACCAGCTCCCTGTACTGCCGGTGTCCTGCTGTGTTGCCCCTGTGTTTGGAACTCTATTCTTGCATGGAACTTCCCAGGGTGTGTAGGAAGGAAGGCCTTAGAGGCACTGAGTGTGTAGAAAGGCACAGTGCTGACCCATGCAGTGGGTGCAGTACCACAGACAAATGTAATACATAGAACATTTCTTCAATCCTGCTAATCAGTTAAGTAACTCAATTATTCTTGCATCATTTTAAGGATATTAAGGCATAGGGTTTCTCAAAATGCATCTCTACAGAGTTTTTAATAAATTATAAAGTCAGACAACAATGTCAGCATTCATAAAGTCAGGCTTGAGCATCTACAGACTAAGGTCGTGTTGCATACAAATCTATTTGGAGAGGGCAGCTTCTCTCTTTTCAAGCAGGTTACTTTAGCTGATGTACATCAGCTAAACTGCATCAGTCTGAACTGCAGTTGTTTATGTGGAGCTCTCTTTTTTAATAGCATAGAGAAACAAATTAATTGTTGTTTACTATAAAAAAATGAAGCATATCCAAGTTGGAAAAAGACAGTCTTGACCTCATCAGAAGAGGTTATTCATCAACAAAATTTCAAAGTGTTGCCTCACTTTTCTGTTAGACTAATAAAAACATTTGATATTGCTGTATTGATTTTAAGTTCCTAAAAATATTTACCCTCTCAAACCAAGGATTTATTTCTGTCAACAGTTTCTGGTTTCCTTTACTTTGCTTTGGCTATGTCTGAAACACAGCTTCCAAACAGTATGTTTTATATCAAGACTTTTTTAGCCAGCCTATGACAACTCATTAGATCACAAGAAAACACACAGTCCCAATTCAGTTTTCATACACAAATTCAAAACAATGCACAAAAATAGGAGAACTGATAAATTAATCTTTGAGATGAGATTTAAAAATGTATAATGACTTGCAATGGACAGACAATAATATGACAGTTTTATCCAATGCTATCAGATCCATTGTAGTGAAGAGTGTATCCTGAAGTATTCCTCTTGGTAAGTGAATTATATAAAAATAAACCCATCCAAAGTATAATTTAATTTTGAAGTTAGACTTTTCCCGATTCTATAGATCTGTATCATTACACATAGCATTGTCAGTCACTAAAGGCAGAAGGTACAAAAGTCAGGCTTCTACTCACTTGAACTTGTAGCTTTCTCGTTTATTATTGATGAACCCATCTCCTAAGTCACGTGGCACAGTGATCTCCAGACTGGGCAGAGGTTCCTCATTATCAACTGAGTAACTCTAATAAGGTTGGATACGAATTCACAGAGTATCTTCATCAATAGAACAGCATTACCCTTAGATATAACACTTATCTAAGCTCAGCACCTCTAATTGTCTGGAGAAAAACTTGTTACCAATGGCACTAAATACGTGAGCAGATCTCCCGTAACTACTACACAACAAAACCAGCACATAACAGCATTATCCTGTCACCACGTAAACACGACAATAACACTTGAAACAAAACCATTGCCTCTTTGACATAATTTGCTTACTAAACCACTTCAATATCTGTGATGTTACAAAAAAAACAAAGCACAGCCCCCAGTGCAAACCTCTCCAAAAAATCTGGAAGAATATATTAGGAGAGGCTACAACAAGACATAGGTTGCAATGAGAGAAGCTGGTTTAAAACAAGAAAGTAATTAAGAGACCTAAATGAGCGGTTGCTGAGGAACACTTTCATTATCTTTATTATGTCTTGGGAGGGCAGCTGTACACTTGGAGGAACACGTTCCCCTCCCTTGCTCAGGACGCTGATGAACTGCACAAACCCAGTGACGCCTGTCCAGGGTTTTCCTTGAAAAAAACGCTTTTTTTTTATACAGAAAAGCAGAGCCTTTCTGAAACAGCGGCTGAGGAAGTTCCTCAGCCACTCATCCAACAGTTACAGCCCAAACTCCTCCGCTTCGTGATTTTACGGACTTCCTAAGGCTTCGGACAGCAGGAGCGTTTCGCCGCACACCCACCCGCGTAGCAACCTTTCCTCCCCTCGTAAAGGGGATGGGCTCTGAACGCTGCCCCGGCTGAGGGGGAACGCGGTCCCGGGGCAGCCCTTGGCACTCCCCAGCTGCCCCAGCGCATCCCCGGGGCGCAGCTCCCAGCCTACCCCCGCCTGCTGCCGCCTGCCCAGCGGCTTCACCCGCGCGTACACCCGGATCGTCTCCTTCACCATCGCCGCCGCCGCCGCGGGCCCCGGCAACGGTGGCCGGGCACGGCGGGCACGCACCGCACCGCCCTCACACGGTAACCGGGCACAGCCCCGGGCACGCACCGCACCGCCCTTACACGGTAACCGGGCACGGCGGGCGGGCACGCACCGCACCGCCCTCACACGGTGACCGGGCACGGCGGGCGGGCACGCACCGCACCGCCCTCACACGGTGACCGGGCACAGCCCCGGGCACGCACCGCACCGCCCTCACATGGTAACAGGGCACGGCGGGCACGCACCGCACCGCCCTTACACGGTAACCGGGCACGGCGGGCACGCACCGCACCGCCCTCACACGGTGACCGGGCACAGCCCCGGGCACGCACCGCACCGCCCTTACACGGTGACCGGGCACGGCGGGCACGCACCGCACCGCCCTCACACGGTAACCGGGCACGGTCCGGGCACACCGCCCTCACACGGTAACCGGGCACGACCCCGGGCACGAACCGCACCGCCCTCACACGGTAACCGGGCACGGCCCCGGGCACGCACCGCCCTCACACGGTGACCGGGCACGGCCCCGGGCACGCACCGCACCGCCCTCACACGGTAACCGGGCACGGCCCCGGGCACGCACCGCACCGCCCTTACACGGTAACCGGGCACAGCCCCGGGCACGCACCGCACCGCCCTTACACGGTAACCGGGCACGGCCCCGGGCACGCACCGCCCTCACACGGTAACCGGGCACGGTCCGGGCACACCGCCCTCACACGGTAACCGGGCACGGTCCCGGGCACGCACCGCACCGCCCTCACACGGTAACCGGGCACGGTCCGGGCACACCGCCCTCACACGGTAACAGGAACAGCCCCGGGCACACCGCCCTCACACGGTAACCGGGCACGGCCCCGGGCACACCGCCCTCACACGGTAACCGGGCACGGCCCCGGGCACACCGCCCTCACACGGTAACCGGGCACGCCCCGGGCACGCACCGCCCTCACACGGCCCCGGCTGAGGTGCCCGGCCCCGGCTGTGAGCGAAGGGATCGCTCCGGGCATCCCCTGCCCGTCTGTCCGCAGGGATCAGCCCACCCGTGCCCACCCTTCCCAGGGAAGGTCTTTTGCCGTTATGCAGTTGAAACTCTATGGAGAGAAATACCAAGATTACAAGCACTGAGGATATCGACTCCTTAGTTCGAATATGAAAATGGTTGTGAGAAAACCAAAATTCCAAGCGGAAAAAGATGTTGTCTTGCTACAACATCTTGCATTTAAACTTAGAAAGCAGTAAGAGCAGAACACCTTTATTCTGTGAAGTGTTTACTAAAGAGACACACAAACAACAGGATTTTGTCCTTAGTAATTATGGCCTTAGTTTTGGTGGGATATAATGGCAGGGACCAGATTACTGTGATTGCAAGCACACTAATTTAAATTAAGTGGAAAAATCAGCGACTTGATATGGAGGAGGAGAGAAATTTCTCTAACTCAGATATGGTAAAAGTATGTTAAACTTGTATCCCAAATAGGAAAAATAGTAGGGAAAAGGTTTTCTCTCTCAGAGGAGCAAATAACTGTCTCAGAAAATGTATGAGGCATAAATAGTGAGCCTTCAGGGAATAAAATACAAAAAGGCTGATCACCATCTAAAGTCAATTGCAAAAAGTCAAAAGGGTAAAAATGAAAACAAATGGAAAATATTACTTGGTGATTTAATAAAGAGTGAAAGAAAAACAGGACATTGCAATGGGATAATGGAATAAATAGTAATTATCTTCTCAGCATTGCTCCAAAATGCTGAAAAAAAAATTGTCTCTTGTCAGTAGGGATGGGGTTGTTGAAGGTGATGTTAAAAGAAGTGTCTACAGGTAGGGAAGCAACTGCAGCCAAGGAGGAAGCAGAACATACAGTGTTCAATTAATTTAGACTAAGAGATCAGGATTTGGGAGGGAAGCATAACTAACTTCAGTTCCAGAACTGTGAAATAATTATGATGTTTAAATTGAAATTTCAGGAACTGAAATGTTGGTTATGCTACGGCACAGTGAAGCCAGTGAGTCAGTTTCGACTCAAACTGCTTCCAGAATGAAAGAATGGTCTTTCAAGAGAGGCCTGAAGGTGACAGCTAACTGAAAATGCAGATATCTAGAGATTATATCGTATGCCAGAAGCATGAAAAGTTTTGGTTTTCTGTAAATTTACTCTGTAAGATCCTCTTGTATTCCCTGGGAAATCACCTTGTACTTGGTGAATTTCCAGCATTTGCATTTATGTTATACCTCAAAGATGTGTCAATTTTCTTCAGCTCCAGGATTTGAGGAAGTGCACCACACTACACAAGAAACCTATAGAATTGAAATAATTATATGACAGTATGACTTGTAGGATCTGGCAATTCCACATTTTAAAAAGGTCAGTCATTGCCTTCTGAAGTAATAAAACATTAAAATGAATCATCTCCCTCTACTGTTGTCACTTTCTTCCATTTAGAAAATAATATTGGTCATAATATATACAGGACCTGGCAATTCAAGGATTTGTGCTGCATTATGTCACCTAGCAACTTATTGTGCTTCCAAATAAACAGCCTGGTAAGTTTTATAGTAGACCAAACTTTCATGTCCTATCTTTTTTCCCCCCAAGTTTTACTTTTCATAGACTTTACGTATTCTTGGCAACAATCTTGCCATTTGGCTGAGATAATGATTAGAAGTTAGAACACTAAAATCTTTCCATAGATCAACTGAGCAGGATGAAGGTCCAAAACTCTTGCCACAGCCTGAATTTGTCTCATCCAACTCCTGAAAACATTAACACCAAATATCTATCTTTTACATGACCAAAAACACTTCTTAAGTGACCAAATACTAAAGTCTGAAATCTGGCCTAAATTTAGGTACAGTATCTGTTGAGTTTGCTATGTGGATGCTGCCAGAAATAGTACAATCTTTATAGTAAAAGGTGTGGTAATACAGAAAATTAGGTTTCTGAATATTTGGTATTTGAATGGAATGTGAAAAGGCTGAGGCAATATTTTTTGGTATTTCATGTATCATGCCAAAGCCCTATAACCCTTGTTTTCTTCTGCTTTGTGCTCAGTATTAAAAAGTTTAATGCTGTCATGTTGACAAAACTGCCTTTTTCAGCTTTTAATAGTCCAGCCATGAGAGAAGGAGAGATGTTTTCCTCTTTTGGGCTACTGTTACAAACTGTTTCTTAGGAAACAGGGCTACATCTTCATGTATGTAAGAAAAACATTTGGAAAGTACTTTAAAAATGTCACATTGTTCTCACATTCTTACCCAGCACATTTATATGTGCCCTAAAAATCTGCATCTTGGTAGACTAAGTCAAGCTAGAAAATCTGAAAATGTCCTCCTTAAGGCTTACGCAGATGTATAATTATGTTTTTAATTGCTTGGCTCTTCTAGAGTAAAGAAAAATCCCATAGAGAAATTTAGGGATTCTTCGGACTCTGTAACAGACAACTAATCTTTTTATCAAGTTGGGCATTTTGTTTCTGGTTTGGGGAATGAAGAGAGGCGGGTGGGGGGGTGGGGGTGGTTCATCTTCTAAATGCTAAACTGGAGCCTTTGTTGCAAACTAGGATGAGAAATGTTAACAGGAGACAAAGCTAATTCCAATGAATTGCAAATGTTATCTGCCCAGTTTTCTCTATCTCCTTCCCATATTTATGTGTAGCATAATAGTTTCTTATTGATGTTTTATTATGAAACCTTCCAAAGCCCATTGTTGGTTTGTCTCTGACTAAGGAGAGATAAAATTCTAGGTGACTATGAATAGAAAAATCGGTAGGGTTTGGGCATTTTTTATCTGAAAACTGGTGAGAAATTTAGCATCTTTTGTTCAATTCTGCTGAATGAATAATTTATTTTATAGTCATTGTATAACTAGTTTGTGTATGCTCTTTTTTGAAGAGGATTAAAATTTCATCATCTTCAACAAAACATTCTAAAATTCAATTATTGGATACCATTGGTTTACAATAATCTTAAATTAAAGCCAAGGATCAGAAGATTTGTTGAGCAGTGTGTAAATTTAGAGGTGTACTAAACAGCTCTTGCTAAGTTTAGGACAATTAGCAATGCTGGAAAAGAGGAAAATAAATAGAAATAATGTGGATAATTGTCGCTGTTGAGGCAGGATGGGAGTGAGACTGATCAGAAGGCTGCTGAGAGTAAAACTCCAGTTTATTCAAAATACCCTGCTCTTTTATACAGAGCTTTGTGAGGACCAACTCCATTGGTCCTGAAGTGAAAACAACCCACAGCATTGGCACAAAGTGCTTGACACACAGTGATAGAACTTAACTATAAACAGTGTGAAAAGCAAGAGCGATAAAGAATTATTTATATTCTTCTCCAGCTCTTTCCGAGGGTTCTGCCTGGCTAGAAGTTCTCATTTCTCTCTTTGACTGAATCTGAGACCCACAGGTAGTATTAGCAGAATGGTCAGAGGCTAGGATTTTCCTATCAAGCTGTTACTGTAAAGAGAATAATAATTCTACAGATCTTTTCAGAGCTTCTTTAGGGAATGAAAATATCATCACAGAAAGCAGGGAAAGGTATGTTTGGAAGTGCAAAATGAAGCTGATACCACTGATAGATCACAGACAAACTTATTTGTGAGATGCTCATGAATACAGTATTACAGTGTGTTAAAGAAAAACAAAGTGATGTGGTAAAGACAGGAGAGCTGCTGGAGGAGGCCCAGCTGACAGTGCAGAGCAGAAATTGAAAGGATGACATTGATCAAGAACACAGAGTCTGTGTGTGGGGATAGGGTGAGAGGGGAGGGTAGAGAAGCTGTTATTCACTGACAACACACGTGGGGAAAATACAACAATGCAACAGAAGGCGATTACAGCCAGGGAGTGACACAAAATTTTGCAGCTCAAAAGGGTAAAGATAAAGGCCATGATCTCAGTTTCACAATTATTGTTCATTGGAAATAGAGGGCATGATGCAGGGAGCTGTAGCAAAAGAGTCTCTAGAATATAAGTATAAAGGAGAACTCCAG